TTTTTTTACAGGGCTGGTTTACTGTCCTAGCACCCAACCTTCCTCTTTTCACAGCATGGGCTTAGGACCGGCCATGGCAGAGTTAAAAAAAAGAAAGCTAACAAATTGAAGATATTTTCCCAATTCCAACGCTGTGACTGCTGAATAATGTTTCTTTTTTGAGCAGGAGCAGCGTGGCTGGTATTCTGACCTTCATCCAAGCTGTGTCAGAATTGGTGGGTGAGATCATGGCATATGGTAAACTATGCGTATATAACTAAATATATACTATATCATATCATGATAAGTCTCATTCCCATGTTACCCTGTTAAAAGGCAGTTCAGCTACTAGCCACAAATTGTCAGTTCAGATTAAACATGGGCAGGTCAGCAAAACGGCAGTTAAGATTTCAAACATGGCAGTTCAATAAAGTGGCACTTTTTTTAAAGGGGCTGGTTTACTGTCCTAGCACCCAACCTTCCTCTTTTTGCAGCACGGGCTTAGGACCGGCAATTTTACACATAGCAAAGTTTTCAAAAAAAAAAGCTAACAAATTGAAGATTTTTCCCAATTCCAAAACTGTGACTGCAGTTCATAATTTTATTTTTTTGAGCGGGAGGAGCGGCAGTTCTCCTCTTGCTGGCATTCTGACATTCATCCAAGCTGTGTCAGCATTGGTGGGTGAGGTCAACGGCAGTTCAGATTAAACAAAGCAGTTAAAGCTCAACGGCAGTTCAGTTTAAACAAAGCAGTTCAACTCAATCAAGGTAGTTTCAGCTCAACAGCAGTTCATAATAAACAAGGCAGTTCAGCTCAACGGCAGTTCAAATCAAAGGCAGTTCAGCTCAATGGCAGTTCAGATTAAACTAGCAGTTCAGATTAAACAAGGCAGTTCAGCTCAAAAGGCATTTCAGATCAATGGCAGGTAAGATTAAACAAGGCAGTTCAGATTAAACATAACAGTTAAGCTCAACGGCAGGTTCACATTATACAAGGCAGTTCAGATTTTCAAAGGCAGATCAGATTAAAACAAGGCAATTCAGATTAAAACAAGGCAGTTCAGCTCAACGGCAGTTTAGATTAAAACAAGGCAGTTCAGTTCAATCAGTTCAATGGCAAGGCAGTTCAGATTAAAACAAGGCAGTTCAGCTCAACGGCAGATCAGATTAAACAAGGCAGTTCAGTTTAACGGCAAATCACATTAAACTAGGCAGTTCACATTAAACAAGGCAATTTAGATTAAGCAAGGAGTTCAGCTCAACGGCAGTTCAGATTAAACAAGGCAGTTCAGCTTAATGGCAATTCAGATTAAACAAGGCAGTTCACTTTGAACACACAGGCAGTTCACATTAAAAAAGGCAGTTCACATTAAACACGGTAGTTCAGCTCAACGACAGTTCAGCTCAACGGCAGTTCAGATTAAACAAAGCAGTTCAGATAAAACAAGGCAGTTCAGATCAGCGGGCAGATCAGAATAAACAAGGCAGTTCAGATTAAACAAGGCAGTTCAGATTCAAAGGGAGTTCAGATTAAACAAGGCAGTTCAGCTCAAAGGCAGTTCAGCTCAGAAGGAAGGCAGTTCAGATTAAACAAGGCAGTTCAGATTAAACAAGGCAGTTCAGCTCAAAGGCAGTTCATATTAAATTAGGCAGTTTAGCTCAACACAAATTCAGATTAAACAAGGCAGCTCATATTAAACAAGGCAGCTCAGAAATTTCAGATTAAAAAAGGCCAGCTCAATTAAACAAGGCAGTTCAGCTCAAAACAAGGCAAACAAGGCAGTTCAGCTCAAACAAGGCAGTTCAAAAGGCAGTTCAGCTCAAACAAGGCAGTTCAGCTCAAACAAGGCAGTTCAGCTCAAACAAGGCAGTTCAGCTCAAACAAGGCAGTTCAGCTCAAACAAGGCAGTTCAACTCAAACAAGGCAGTTCAACTCTAACAAGGCAGTTCAACTCAAACAAGGCAGTTCAGCTCAAACAAGGCAGTTCAGATTTAACAAGGCAGTTCAGATTTAAACAAGGCAGTTCACATTAAACAAGGCAATTCAGATTAAACAGACCCCATTAAACAAGACCCTTCCGAGCCCCTGCAAGCCTGCCGTGTCCCTACCTGAGAGACGTGGTTGATCGCTGGTTGTCCCTGTCTGCTGATCGCTGGTCGTCCCTGGAACGCCGCGTACCATGAGGTTCCCTGTCTGCAGATCGCTGGTCATCCGTGTCTGCTGATTGCTGGTCGTCCCTGGAACGCCGAGTGCCGTGAGGTTCCCTGTCTGCTGATCGCTGGTCATCCCTGGAACGCTGAGTGCTGTGAGGTTGAGTAGGCGTGGCTTATGTTTTCTTGCCTTAACAGCCTCAGAGTCCCCCCCCCCGTCCCCTACGCTGCAGCTGACGGGGAGGAATTTCTGTATGATCACCCAAACACAACCACTATATAGTTGGCCAATCGCAGATTGAGCCTCAAGAGCTCCGCTTTCACGCCACGCACCTGATTTGCTGCCTCTCAAGCGGAACTTAGATCAGGCCCCGCTTCTTTTCTGTCACCAATCAGCTTTGAGTAGGCATGGCTTATGTTTTCTTGCCTTAACAGCATTGGAGTCCTCGCCCCTCCCCCACGCTGTAGCTGACGGGGAGGAATTGTCCAGTCCCAGGTGCAGTGAACGTCTTCCTTTCACTCGAAATATAGTGGCACTTTTTTTTACAGGGCTGGTTTACTGTCCTAGCACCCAACCTTCCTCTTTTCGCAGCAGCACGGGCTTAGGACCGGCCATGGCAGAGTTAAAAAAATTGAAAGCTAACAAATTGAAGATATTTTCCCAATTCCAAAGCTGTGACTGCTGAATAATATTTTTTTTTTTGATGGCAGGAGCGGCGTCCTCTTGCTAGCATTCTGACCTTCATCCAAGTTGTTTCAGCATTGGTGGGTGAGGTCAACGGCAGTTCAGATTAAACAAAGCAGTTAAGCTCAATGGCAGTTCAGCTTAAACAAAGCAGTTCAACTCAATCAAGGTAGTTCAGCTCAACAGCAGTTCATAATAAACAAGGCAGTTCAGCTCAATGGCAGTTCAGATTAAACTAGGCAGTTCAGATTAAACAAGGTAGTTCAGATTAAACAAGGCAGTTCAGATTAAACAAGGCAGTTTAGCTCAAAAGGCATTTCAGATCGGGAGCGGCCGCAACATCCAGAGCTCCGGCGCATTAATTACAATCCGCTGCCATCCGTTGGCCCAGCGGAGGTTTCCAGCGGTGTCCCCTGCATTTTAGAGGGGGGCTCAGGGCTGTATTGCCCCCCTCTGTAGCGGCTGACGTTCGCGGCCTGCTGTGGCCGCATAATCCGGGCTCCGGCGCCTCGGACCTCACACTGCTACCATCCGGACAGTGGGTGACTGTCCGGAGAGCATTAGAGGCACCGTCTGCGTCCCCGAAGACTGAAGGTACGCTTCGGGATTTATTGTCCCTCCCTGAGGCAGCGGACGTCTGCGGCCTGGTGCAGCCTACTCCTCCGACCCGGATTCCTTTCATCCCAGCCACAGTGAGTACAGGAGGCAGGGGGGCTGGAGGAACTGGCCACCGGGTTCCCCTCCAGTGATCCGGGATCCGGGGCCCCCATTGGATATCCTGGACGCCATCTCCCTCTGTGTTCGCGGCCCCTGATGGGCTTGGGGGCTTGCGGTGGCTGTTGCGCTGCAGTCGGGTGGGGTGCTGGGACTATCCATTTCTGTTCTGGAGGACCCTGGGGCCAGCGTAAGGGGACCCCTGTCACACTGGGGTCTCCCATCCTGTCAGGAATGGACTTGCCAATAATGGTGGGACTCACCTGCCTTGTGGGCTGCAGTACCAGGGCTGGCCAGCGGGTGCTCTCAGCAATCAGAGACTCACCCCTGCAATCAGCCAAACACCTGAAGCTGATTGCAGGGGTTGTATTTAAGGAATGGCCAGACTCACAGTCAGGGCCTTGGTGTGTGTTTTTTCCATGGGCCCCTGTACCTTGTATCCTGTATTCCTGTTCCTGTTCCTGTCTGACTTGTTGCCGACCCTGCCTGATCCTGACCTCTGCTGACTTCTCCTGCTTGATCCCTGGCTTGTGACCCTGACCATTCTCTGCCTGACCCTCTGTACCGCGCTGCCCGTGAGTTACTGTACCCAGCTTGTGACCCCGACCACTCTCCCCCCCTGTTCCTGGTACTCTGTTTGCCCGTTTGCTACTGACCCGGCCTGCCTGACTACTCTTTGTATTGTATGTATTGTTATCGGTGGGTGGTTTGGTTTGTTTGCACTGTGTTTATGTTTAGTTTTGCATTGCGTTTTGTATTGTTAGTCTTAATAAATTATATTGTTTATACCATATCTGAAGCCTGCGTTTCCCTGTGTCAGTCCACACACCTCTGGTCATACCCGGGGCCCTGACATTACACCAAGGCCAATCCTGACCAGAAGTGGTTGCACAGGGAAGCCATCTTGGCTTATTGTTGCTGGGAAGGATGGATCTTGATGAGGTGGTGTATTTATCTCTGCTAGTGTTTGATGACAAAGACTATGCTTATCAGACTCTGAAGGAGTATCCCAGGGATCAACTACTAGAGTGTATAAGGATCGCTCATTGCCTAGTAGATCAGGGCACAGAGTTTTCTGAGGTGCAGCCATTGATCCAGGTTTGTGCTGAGTTGGCTCGGTCCTGTACCCCTGAAAGCAGGAATGACTTTTTCCCCCATTTAGTGTGGATCAAGTGGAATCACTGGTATGGTTGTTGGAGGATGATCCAGATTGCTTCCATGAGCATTATGCAGCTTGTCCATCACATGTGCTTATGGATTGCATAAACGCAGTGCAGTCTTTGGTCAGACAGGCTATGTGTAAGCTGAGTTTTGTTCAACCAGTACTGCAGACATGGACAGATTTGTTGCACCCAGCCTCAGTCAGCTTGCAACATCATTCCTTTGCTCAAGGCACTCTTCCTGCATCCCTGACAGCACCCCCAGTGACGGCCCAGTATACTCTGCTAACTACCACATACCAGCCCCCTGCTCCCACTCGCTGCACCTATCCTTTCTTTAACCCTGTAAAGAAGTCCTCTGTAGCAACTGCTCCCTCCTCTGTTCCATCCTCCAGCTCTTCTCTGTCTTCAGCTGCTCCATTCGTTTACAGACCTGCGTTTACTTACAGTGCTCCAGTAACTAAAACCAGAAAAAAGCGAAAATTCTTTCCAACCAGTACCATCCTGCCAGTATCCAAACCGGTCAGCCTGCCGTCTGAAAACCCGCCTTCCGTGGTTCAGCCTGGTGCCTCGGCACCCGCAATTCAGCCTGATGTCTCTACCCAGCCGATGCCCGCTGTCGTGCCTGATGACCCGATGCCAGCTGTCGAGCCAGATGACCTGATGCCTGGTGACCCGATGCCCGCTGTCGAGCCAGACGATCCAATGCCTGATGACTCGGTGCCCACTGTCTTGCCAGATGACTCGGTGCCCGCTGTCTTGCCAGATGACTCGGTGCCCGCTGTCTTGCTTGATGACCCGATGCCCGCTGTCTTGCCAGATGACTCGGTGCCCACTGCCTTGCCAGATGACTCGGTGCCCGCTGTCGAGCCAGATGACCTGATGCCTGGTGACCCGATGCCCGCTGTCGTGCCTGATGACTCGGTGCCCACTGCCTTGCCAGATTATTATTATTATACAGTATTTATAAAGCGCCAATAGTTCGCTCAGCGCTGTACATTACAAAGATGACTCAGTGCCTGCCTTGATTTTCGCTTATTGCAAAATTGTATCAAGGCAGAAATTCATCCGATGACATGGTCGGACCATGCACCTATTTCACTAAGTATTGAAGAGACTTTAAAGTTTTCTCCTGTTTTTTTATGGTGTAATGATGTCTCTATGTTCTGCAATTCTACTTTCAAATCTTCTCTTACTGAAGCTTTACAGGAATACTTTGATATCAATTCTGCTTCTGATGTTAATGTATTTAATGTGTGGTGAGCTCATAAGGCGTATTGTAGAGGTTTGCTTCTAAAGTTAGCTTCCAGAGCAAAGCGTGAGAGGAATCAAATCTTTTCTGATACAATCGATAAGATAGCTAGGCTAGAACATAAGCATAAGAAATCTTTATCCCCCAATGTCCTGCGAGAACTTCAAGAAATTAGACTTGAGCTTAGGACCCTCTTATCTTGGGGACAAGGCCAAAATTTGAAGAAAGCTAAAGCTACCTTTTACACTCAAGGGAACAAGGCGGGTAAATTGTTGGCGAGATATTTGGCTGTTAGACAATCCAAATTAGCTTCTATTATAGACCCAATATCAAACAGTAACACATATCATCCTAATAGCATAGCGGCGGCATTCTGCTCTAATTACTCCCAGTTGTATAACCTTAAAGATGACCCGCATACTAAACAACCTACACCAGAGCTAATAAATCAATTCTTTGAAAACGTTTCACTGCCTACGTTAGATCGCCATACTTTAGAGGGGCTCAATGAACCTATTCTAGAAAGTGAAATAATCGCAGCTATTAAAGCTTTACCAAAAGGGATTTCCCGGGGGCTGATGGTTTTACTGCCGAGTACTATAAGGAATTTCAATCCACTTTAGTACCCCACCTTAAAACGATCTTTGATGAAGCGATATCTAAGTCCACTTTCCCATCAGAGATGTTAAAGGCTATCATTGTCACTTTGCCAAAACCGGGGAAAACTCCAGACCGCCCTCAAAATTTTAGACCTATTTCTTTATTGAACACGGACCTTAAAATGTACGCTAAAATTATAGAAACTCGTCTTTTAAAAATCACTCCTCTGCTAATTAAAGCAGACCAAGTGGGCTTCGTTAATGGACATCAAGCATGAGATGGAACGCGCAGAATTCTCAACCTGATGCATTTGACTGAATCGAGAGGATCTCAGGCTGTGTTTTTGGCATTGGATGCCGAAAAAGCTTTCGATAGAGTACATTGGCAATACTTAGATGCTACATTATCTAAATTTGGTATCAGTGGCTTTATAAAATCGGCTATTATGGCTTTATATACGGTCCCTACTGCGCAAGTATTTATGTCTAATGCATTATCTGCACCCTTCAGTATCACTAATGGAACAAGACAGGGGTGTCCCTTATCTCCTATTATTTTTTCATTGGTGATGGAACCATTAGCGTCCGCAATTAGAAATAACCCATGAATCCCAGGCATCCCAATAGCAAATACCTCCCACAAAATTGGACTATTTGCAGATGATGTTATTCTTATGGTTACTGATCCGGTGAATTCCCTTACAGAAATCTCTGTTTCCTTAGAGACCTTCAGTGCGGTTTCTTACTACAAACTTAATATCACCAAATCTTGTGCCCTTCCAATATCTGTTTCCAGGGGACCTTTGAAATACCTTAAAGATAAATTTCCCTATAATTGGACTCATAAGAAATTGGACTATTTAGGTATCTGTATATCAGCCCCGACCTCCAATACATTTAAAGATAATTCTGAAAAACTATATCAATCTATTTTAGTGGAGCTACAGAGACTTGAAAAATTTGAATCATCATGGATAGGCAGAATAGCTGCCTTTTTAAGATGTTGATCTTTCCTAAAATATTATACTATTTTCAAACTATTCCAATTATTATACCTTCTGCTTATTTCCGTAAATTGGAGGTGGCACTTAAAAGATACACCTGGAAAGGGAAAAAAAAAACCACGGATTCCATTTTTGTCCCTTACTAAACATGGGTCTAAAAGGAGGGTTAGGCCTCCCGCTGCTTTTCTACATATTATTATGCAACTATCCTTGACCAAATATCAGCTTGGCTAACCCCATCTGATAAGCTGTGGGTACAAATAGAGCAAAGTGTAGTTCCTAATAAAGATCTTCGGGCACTATTGCTGGCTAGGTCAATCACATCCAATCTTATACCTACACTCCTCCCGTCTATTCATGCACACACTAAAGCATGGATGGCGGGTCTTCATAAGTTAAACTCCTATCCAAAACTGCATGTGGACATCCCACTGAGGGCATACGAAACTCTTTATTCCCAACCTTAATACTTACCCTTTAACTGAATTAGGATATAGCACTTTTGCTGAGATAGCTGATACCACACCTAGTAAAGGTCTATATCAAGTTTTACAAATCGGAGGTTTCCACAGTATACATCCGAAGACATGGCTTGAGATAGATTCGAAACAATGGCAGGTGTTAACTAACCCTATCAAAAAATAAAAAAATGGTTTTATAAACTTTAACATTATGAGACTATCTCATGGTTTTATAAACTTTAACATTATGAGACTGATAGTTCCATTCTGGGTTGTGTGAGTAGATGGGAGAGGGACCTCCAAAGTTCTTTCACCCAGACGAAGGGGATGTGGCCCTGTGCAATACTCTACGCATTACAAAATGTACAAATCACTGGGATTGTTCTTTTAAAACTTTGTATCTTGGCTACCTTACCCCATATAAATTGGCTAAAATGTATCCAGACGTGTCGTCATTGTGCTGGAGGAATTGTGGTAGGGAAGGTAATTTACTTCACATTATGTGGGAATGTCCATGCCTACTTAACTTTTGGCAAGCAGTTTTTTCTCTTATCTCACAGATTTCTGGCTCGATAACCACTCTGGCACCGCATCTGGCTTTGCTTAATCTCACCCTAAACCTATTTCCTGCCCAATTTAGAACAATAATTGGCCATATTCTTATTGCATCCAGAATGGCTGTTGCGGCTGCATGGAAATCAACAAAGATTCCCTCTATGTCCGACATAATTCAAAGAGTACAGTTACATTATGTATGTGAAAAGGCTGTGGCCCTTAATACCCAGCAAATGGAGAAATTTGATTGGAAATGGGCTAGTTGGAATTATGAATCATAATATGAACATATGCTCTTGAAGATGATACTAGTAGCTCTGGTTTTTGTGCGGATGATTTGGTGCTCTGATTTGTTTCTTTTTTTTCTTCCCTTACCCCTTATGTTTCCCTTGCCTCCCCTGATCCCCTCTTTATATATATATATATATATATATATATATATATATTTTTTTTTTTTTTTTTATCTCTTCTCTTCTTACTATCAAAACCTGGAGGTTGTGCTTTCTGTTGCCTGTCCTTCAGGGATGAGAGTGATGGAATTCAGTGTATTATGCAGCTTATATGTGCCTTACGTAAAATCTTATTATTCTATAGGATTGGGAGTCAAATATGCTAATATTGTATATCTTATTTCTGAGACATTGTGAGGCCATTGGGCCTGTATATGATTGATTTCATAGATAACAATGCACTTAAGATATGGCATTTGGATAAACCTGTATTTGTTTTCCAATTTATCTCTCATTATTCTGCTGTACTTGAAATCCCAATAAAAAAGATTTGAAAGAAATTGCCATGTGAAGGAAGGTAGGGTGAACATTTTACCCCCTCTCCATTCCTTTTCATGCCCCCGCTCTTGTCATACACAGTCTGATATTTATTGTCCTTAACATAAATGAAGCATATCAAATGAAATCCATTCATTCTATTTATTATTACCACTACTATGCACAATGGGTAAAGCTGTATATAAGAAACAAAAAGAGGGCGCACAGGCCTGGCGCATTACCTTAAAAATGGGATTTATTTATAAATTGTAAAATACTCACAAGAAAAATGTAAAATCCGATCAAAATGAGAAGCATGTCGCAAGGGATGCAGAGTGGTTCAGGAACCCCTCTGGGTGGTCTGGTGGGGGACTGTGAACCTCTGGATAGCTGGTGGCTGACGCCTTTCGAGGTTGTACCTCTTCCTCAAAGCCAGTGTGTCACAGTCCCCCACCAGACCACCCAGTTCAGCTATACGGCAGTTGAGATTTAACAAGGCAGTTCAGCTCAACGGCAGTTTAGATTAAGCAAGGCAGTTCAGATTAAAACAAGGCAGTTTAGCTCAACGGCAGTTTAGATTAAAACAAAGCAGTTCAGATTAAACAAGGCAGTTCAGCTCAAACGGCAGTTCAGATTAAACAAGGCCATTCAGCTCAAACAAGGCAGTTCAGATCAAGGCCGTTCAGTTCAAACATTCAGCTCAAACAAGGCAGTTCAGCTCATAGGGCAGTTCAAACAAGGCAGTTTAAACAAGGCCGTTCAGCTCAAACAAGGCAGTTCAGCTCAAACAAGGCAGTTCAGCTCAAACAAGGCCGTTCAGCTCAACAAGGCCGTTCAGCTCAAACAAGGCCGTTCAGCTCAAAAGGCCGTTCAGCTCAAAAGGCAGTTCAGGCATTCAAAAAGGCAGTTCAAACTCAATGGCAGTTCAGATTAAACAAGGCAGTTTCAGCTCAAAAGGCAATCAATCAAGGCAGTTCAGCTCAAACAAGGCAGTTCAGCTCAAAAGGCAGATCAGATCAAACAAGGCAGTTCAGTTAAACAAGGCAGTTCAGCTCAAAAAGGCAGTTCAGCTCAATGGCAGTTCAGATTAAACAAGGCAGTTCAGCTCAAAAAGGCAGATCAGATCAATGGCAGTTCAGATTAAACAAGGCAGTTCAGCTCAAAAGGCAGATCAGATCAATGGCAGTTCAGATTAAACAAGGCAGTTCAGCTCAAAAGGCAGATCAGATATATGGCAGTTCAGATTAAACAAGGCAGTTCAGATCAAAGGGCAGATAAGAAAAATGGCAGGTCAGATTAAACAAGGCAGTTCAGATTAAACAAACAGTTCAGCTCAACGGCAGTTTAGATTAAACAAGGCAGTTCAGATCAAACAAGGCAGTTCAGATCAAACAAGGCAGTTCAGATCAAACAAGGCAGTTCAGATCAACAGCAGATCAGATTAAACACGGCAGATCAACTCAACGGCAGTTCAGCTCAAACAAGGCAGTTCAGATTAAACAAAGCAGTTTAGCTCAACGGCAGTTCAAATTATCAGTGTGCCCTGATGATCAGTGTAGCCCCAGCAGTGCCACCTGCCAGTGTCCATCAGTGCCTTATGTCAGTGCCTTGTGCCAGTGTCCATGAGTGCACAGCAGTGCACATCAATGCCACATATCAGTGCCCATCTGAGCTGCCTTTCAGTGTCACCCATCAGTGCCAGTCAGTGCCACCTATCAATGCCAATCAGTACCACCAGCATCAGTGCTGCCTATCAGCCTATCAGTGTGTGCATCAGTGATGCCTATCAATGCCTATCAGTGCCACCTACCAGTGCCTCCTCATCAGTGCCCATCAGTGCCACCTATCAGTGCAGCCTATCAGTGCCCATCAGTGCAGCCTCATTAGCGCACATCAGTGAAGGAGAAAAATCACTTATTTACACAATTTTATAACAAAAACTAAGAAAAAACATTTTTTTTTTTAAATTTTCAGTGGTTATTGGTTTGTTTAAGAAAAAATAAAAACCCAGAGGTGAATAAATACCACCAAAATAAAGCTCTATCTGTCACAAAAAAATGATAAAAATTTCATAAGGGTACATTGTTGTTTTACCGCGCAATTGTCATTCAAAGTGCGACAGCGCTGAAAGCTGGAAATTGGCCTGGGCAGGAAGGGGGTATAAGTGCCCTGTAGGCTAGCGGTTAACCAATACACGCCCAGCCAATAGCCAAAAGGTGGCCGGCAAAATGTATTGGATTTCCGGGTTGGACACCAAATGGCGTCCTCCCGCACATGCGCACTTTTCGCACTTGCAGAGCTGCGCAGCGGCGCGATCTGTCATCGGCCGTCTACCTCGGACACAGCCGATGACAGATCTGAGTATCGGCCCCGTTGCCGATACCATGTGACCTGCTGTGACCAATCACAGCAGGTCACGTGACAGTTGTATACAATGGATGGCTTCATTCATGCCATCCATTGTATACTACTGTCTAGCTGTGAATGGTAACAGCGATCACATGCACATGTCATGTGATTACCTGTGGCCAAATCACAGCTAAGCACAAAAAAAAAAAAAACCCTGAATGAATCGATGTCATTCAGGTAAAATCTTTGCTATAAGCAAATTGTGTAAAAAAAAAAAAATACTGATCACTTCCCCAAAGTAGACTTTAGACATAGTGAAATATGAAAAAAAAAAAAAATTAAAAAAAGAAAAAAAATGTACCGTATTTTCCGGCGTATAAGACGACTGGGCGTATAAGACGACTGGGCGTATAAGACGACCCCCTACTTTTCCTGCTAAAATATAGGGTTTGAGCTATACTCGCCGTATAAGACTACCCCTCTTCCAACACACACCAAATAAAAATGAAAAAACATCAGATTTGATTTCAATATGGTATGCTATTTCAGTATGGTATTCCAATGATGGGGTGCTATTCCTCCCACTGAACCAAAAATGATGAGGCACTACTCCTCCCACTGACACCAAATGATGTGGCACTATTTCATCCACTGATACCAATGATGGGGCACTATTCCTCCCACTGATACCAATGATGGGACACTATTCCTCCCACTGACACCAATGATGGTGCCCCATCATTAGTGTCAGTGTGTGAGGAATAGTGCCCCATCATTAGTCAGTGGGAGGAATAGTGCCCCATCATTGGTGTCAGTGGGAAGAATCGTGCCCCATCATTGGTGTCAGTGGGAAGAATCGTGCCCATCATTGGTGTCAGTGGGAAGAATCGTGACCCATCATTGGTGTCAGTGGGAGGAATAGTGTCCCATCATTGGTGTCAGTGGGAGGAATAGTGTCCCATCATTGGTGTCAGTGGGAGGAATAGTGCCCATCATTGGTATCAGTGGGAGGAATAGCGCCCCATCATTGGTATCAGTGGGAGGAATAGCACCTCATCATTGGTGTCAGTGGGAGGAATAGCGCCCCATCATTGGTGTCAGTGGGAGGAATAGCGCCCCATCATTGGTGTCAGTGGGAGGAATAGCAGCGCCCCATCATTGGTATCAGTGGCAGGAATTGCGCCCCATCATTGGTGTCAGTGGGAGGAATTGCGCCCCATCATTGGTGTCAGTGGGGAGGAGGAATAGTGCCCCATCATTGGTGTCAGTGGGGAGGAGGAATAGTGCCCCATCATTGGTATCAGTGGGGAGAGGAATAGTGCCTCATCGTTGGTGTCAGTGGGGGAGGAACAGTGCCTCATCGTTGGTGTCAGTGGGGAGGAACAGTGCCTCATCGCTGGTGTCAGTGGGGAGGAGGAATAGTGCCCCATCGTTAGTCAGTGGGGGAGAGGAGCGGCTGCTCCTTCTTCCAAGTTCGGCCCGCTCGATTTTCGCGGGGGCCGCCGGCTCCGCCTCCTCACCGGTGATTGGCCGCCTGTGTGCCTTTCCAGTGCTGGCGCCCAATCACCGGTGAGGAGGCGGAGCCGAGCGCCGCCTGACCATCGAGCTGCCTAACTGAAAGAGAGCAGCCGCGATTTTCTGGACCGGATCGTCGTGGGACCGGACCAAGTAAGGTTGGCCCAGCCCCTCTGCCCACCCCTGTACTCGCCGTGATTGGCCGCCTGTGTCTGCCTTTCCAGTGCTGGCGCCCAATCACCGGTGAGGAGGCGGAGCCGAGCGGAGGCCGCGTGACCATCGAGCTGCCTAACTGAAAGAAGGAGCAGCCGCGCTTCCTGGACCGGATCGTCGTGGGACCAGAGCCAGGTAAGGTACAGCAGCCCCTCTGCCCACCCCTGTACTTAGTGTCCGTTGGAGGAGGAGGGGGGGCAGCGCCCGCGCCCTTTTCCCCGCGAAAAAGTGCCGCCCTGACACCGGCTCGCACCGGCGTATAAGACAACCCCCGACTTTTCAGAAGATTTTCAGGGGTTGAAAAGTCGTCTTATACGCCGGAAAATACGGTAATAAAAAATAAAAATAATAAACATTTTTTTAAAAAAAAAAAAAAATATATTTTTTTTTTTTCATACTGTCACCAGTCAGTGTCCCTAATCACCGCCATGCCAGTTATATGAAGACGCTGTACTGCACTGGTGACAGTATGTAAAAAAAAAATAGTGAAAACAATCATTTTTTGCATTTTTTCATTTTCCAAAAAATTATGACAAAAAAAATACAACTTCAAAAAACTCGCCATGCCTCTTATGAAGTATGTCGGACTGTCTGCTCTGCAAAAAGGGGTCATTTGGGGGATATCTGTACTGTTCTGACATTCTTGGACCTCAAGAAATTAGATTGGCTGTCAGTACTTCAGGATTGATCAATATTCAGATCTATACCATAGTTTGTGAACTCTATAACTTTCCCACAAACTAAAAATACATCCTAATTTGGGTTATTTTCACCAAAGACATGTAGCAGAATACATCTCGGCCTAAATTTATTAAGAACAATTATTTATTTGCAAACTTTTATAACAGAAACAAAGAAAAAACGTGGGTTTTTTTTTCAAAATTTTTGGTCTTTTTTTTGATAATTTAGCAATAAATAAAAACCTCGGCGGTGATTAAATACCACCAAAAGAAAGCTCTAGTTGTGTGAAGAAAATGATAAAATTTTAGTTTGGTACAGTGTTGTATGACCGCACAATTGTCATTCAAAGTGTGAGAGCGCTGAGACCTGAAAACTGGCCTGGGCAGGAAGGGGGAAAATTGCCCGGTATTCAAATGGTTAAACAAGGCAGTTCACATTAAACAGACCCCACAGCCAAGACCCTGCAAGCCTGCCGTGTCCCTACCTGAGAGCCGTGGTCGTCCCTGTCTGCTGATCGCTGGTCGTCCCTGTCTGCTGATCGCCCCTGTCTGCTGATCGCTGGTCGTCCCTGGAACGCCGAGTGCCATGAGGTTGAGTAGGCATGGCCTGTGTTTTCTTGCCTTAACAGCCATGGAGTCCCCGCCCCCTCCTCCACGCTGCAGCTGACAGGGAGGAATTTCTGTATGATCATCCAAACACAACCGCCCTGTAGTTGGCCAATCGCAGACTGAGCCTCAAGAGCTCAGCTTTCGCACCACGCACCTGATTGGCTGCATCTCAAGCCGAACTTAGATCAAGCCCTGCCCCCTTTTCCTGCCGCCTATCAGCTTTGAGTAGGCATGGGCTATGTTTTCTTACCTTAACAGCCTCGGAGTCCCGCCCCCTCCTCCACGCTGCAACTGACAGGGAGGAATTTCTGTATGATCATCCAAACACAACCGCCCTGTAGTTGGCCAATCGCAGACTGAGCCTCAAGAGCTCAGCTTTCGCACCACGCACCTGATTGGCTGCCTCTCAAGCCGAACTTAGATCAAGCCCCACCCCCTTTTCCTGCCGCCTATCAGCTTTGAGTAGGCATGGGCCTATGTTTTCTTACCTTAACAGCCATCGGAGTCCCCCCCCCTCCTCCACGCTGCAACTGACAGGGAGGAATTTCTGTATGATCATCCAAACACAACCGCCCTGTAGTTGGCCAATCGCAGACTGAGCCTCAAGAGCTCAGCTTTCGCACCACGCACCTGATTGGCTGCATCTCAAGCCAAAGTTAGATCAAGCCCCGCCCCCCCCCTTTTCCTGCCGCCTATCAGCATTGAGTAGGCATGGCCTATGTTTTCTTACCTTAACAGCCATGGAGTCTCCGCCCCCTCCTCCACGCTGCAACTGACAGGGAGGAATTTCTGTTGATCACCCAAACACAACCGCCCTGTAGTTGGCCAATCGCAGACTGAGCCTCAAAAGCTCAGCTTTCGCACCACGCACCTGATTGGTTGCATCTCAAGCCGAACTTAGATCAAGCCCCGCCCCCTTTTCTTGCTGCATATCAGCTTTCAGTAGGTGTGACACTTCCCATGAGGCATTGCTCCTCACACATTCACGTTCTCAAGACACTTTCTGACACGTATGGACAGTACTGAACTGTACGTGTGCTGCACTGTATGGTGACATGTATGGACGGTGTACTGAGCTGTATGTGTGCTGCACTGTGTATAGTGACATGAATGGACGGTGTACTGAGCTGTACGTGTGCTGCACTGTGTATAGTGACATGTATGGACGGTGTACTGAGCTGTACGTGTGCTGCACTGTGTATAGTGACATGCATGGACAGTGTACTGAGCTGTATGTGTGCTGCACTGTGTATAGTGACATGCATGGACAGTGTACTGAGCTGTACGTGTGCTGCACTGTGTATAGTGCACAGTGTCAGAATGCCCTCTGCAGTCCCGCTATATCATGTGACCTCCACTCCACTTTTTTTTTTTTTTTTTTTAAACGAACTGAAATGTAACAAACAACCAATGGCTGCAGGCTGGAGCTCGACAGGAAACGTTACATTAAAGTTTATTTAAAAAAACGTTTGAGTGGAGGTCACATGTTTCCTGTCGAATGGAGCTCCAGTTTGCAGCCATTTTTTTTTTTACATTAAAGTTCATTTAAAGGAGTGGAGGTCACATTT